TTACTGTTTTATATTTGTATTTGTTTACCCCGAACGACGTCGGGTGCTCTACTAGTTCTCTATAAAAACCGTAGTTAAACAAGTGGGCGTTTTTCAAGAACTCTTTTTAAAATATTTTTCTTTATAACGAGATGGCATATTTTGTGAAAATCAACAATTTTTTGTAATTTGTTTTCGAAAACTTATGTTGACATATATTTAGAAAGGCGTTAAACATCGGATTTTTGCAAGAATTTAAATTTTATTGCAGATTCCGGTAGAATCCAGGTATAATATTTGTACGGCAAGATTTTTCTTTGAGGCGACAAACCCGTAGAAACGGTCGTGTCAATTATAGGACCAAAGTTACCAAAACGCAGATTTTATTGCGGATTTCGGCAGAATATCGCTTCTTTAACAATATTTGTTCCACAACTTTTTCAGTCCATATAGATATTCTGGTAAAATCCATAATAAAGTCTAAATTTTTAAATTTTGGTTTTAATATAGCCACGCCCATTTCTAGAATATTCTTTGATTGAAAAAATTTTGGAAAAAATGTTGTTAACGAAGCGATATTCTGTCAAAATTCGCACCAAAATCTGCTACGGGTTTGTCGCCTTAAAGAAAAATCTTGCCATACAAATATTATACCTGGATAGAATACCTCGGAATTTGCAAATAAATAACATAAACTTGAAACAAATTACAAAAAAAGGTTGATTCTCTCAAAATATGTCATCTCATCATAAAGAAAAAGATTTTAAAAATATTTCTTGCAAAACGTCTATTTTTTGAACCACGTTTTTTATAGAGAATTAAACAAGGATTACGATGATATAATTCTAAATTCTTAATTTACTGGTCTTCACTTCAAAAAGTTCAACTGTTAATAGCTAAGTTAGCTTTAGGACAATCTTGACCATGTGTATATATAGCATTTGCACATTAAGTTAAACTTTTGGCAAATAAGTTTAATCTTTTGGCAAACAAATTTAATATTTTGGCGAATAAAATTAATCTTTTGGCAAATAAATTTAATCTTTTGGTAAATAAATTTAATCTTTTGGCAAATAAATTTAATCTTTTGGCAAATAAAATTAATCTTTTTGCAAATAAATTTAATCTTTTGGCAAATAAAATTAAACTCCACTGTAGTACTAAACAGTGTTTGAAAAAGTAAAAAATACACTGAAAAACTGCTGCTGCTGTGTTATGAATGCATTTTTTTTTAACTTTTGACGCTTAGCTTTACTGCGCCAATATGAAGAGTTAACCTACAGGGTAGCTGAAAAGTGTTTTTTGGTTTTTCTTTGTTTTGTTGATTTGACTGCGCACTTTCAAACAGTTCTGTCACAGCATGGTCTCAAATATTCGTCACACTATCTGGCGCGTTTTATTTCAACCAAACCACGCATTATGGCCAAATGGGATGAAAAACATCTAAAATGCTACAAATCTTGAACTCCCTTAATATATTTGCAGACGCAGGTTCAAAAAAAATTCATTTATATTCATACGCTCATATGTACATTAGGATGCTCATCGAAAATGTTCGTTTTTATGAGAAATATTATTGCCTATTTTTATAGATATTTTAAAGGCCATTTAGAGGTCACGACCTGTCGATTTAGGTTAAAAAATACGGTTTTGTAGATTTACGAGTTTTTGAATGATTATTTTTGACTCGATTTCATAGATCGAATGTCATCTGAGAAGAGGATTGGCCTTTAAAATGGTATTTAATAATCTATTTTCGGACTTGGCTTGTTGGGATTTTGTATGTGGTAAAATAACAAAAAAAAAACTATATTTCTCTTAATTTTTTAAATTTTGACCATTGATAATTTCCACAATTTCAAAAGATGCAGTACTGTCTAAATTAAATCTATTTTCAAATAAACTGATACCGCATTAATTGCAATCGCATTAAAATTGTCGAATTTAGGAGGCTTTTCTTAAATACGGCCTTGAATTTATATTGTACTAGCCAATGCCCGCTTACTTCGCGGCGCCTAATAAGAGCTTTTACGTTAGCCAATGCAAAAGAGCGTTTAAAAACAAATTTAGTCTGTAAAGTCAAAATTTTTTATTTAAGCTGAAACCACTAAGGCGCAGTATCCTCCTCACACATAGGCCAATAATAGTAACGCTGTGATACCATATGGAATACCAATCCCTTTTGGTGTCATGAGCTTTACTGATGGTCTTATTTCCACCTGTGTGATCTCTGCCAATNGCATGCGTAATCTTTTTGTATGATCTTGCAACTACAACATTGGTGCGATGCGTATGCCAACAAAAGTTCTTATAGGGAAACTCAAGATCACAGAAGTGCGTTTTCTTTATAGGAGGGCCAAGAATCCTCGCTGTCCCACAGGATGAAAAGTTTTCCGGTACATTGCTTAATGATNATCGTCTATTAGCCCGAACACAATGAAAACGACGAGCTACCGACCACAGCTATCAAATTATCTTAACACGTACTCTTAAACTATGTTCACATTACCAACATAAAATACTTAGTTTCGTTTAAAATACTTCACTAAATTAAGTGCGTTCATACACGCGATTCTTTATTTGTCTTGACAGCTTTGTAGCAACCCTGTGTTATTGTTTATTTAACCAAAAGAGATCGCGAATGTGAGTAATTGCGTATATTTTTATATTCTGAGTTGTTTGTGGTAATTTTTTTGATTTTAGATGAGTGATAAAAAGAGAAAGCTTCTGAAAATATTTTACAAACTACCACGCGCGATTATTAAAACCAAAAACGTCCAAACACAATGACATATCAGTTATGGGACAATAATTTTTTCGATTATTATCGATAAAATTAGAGCCGACACTGATTTGTTCGTGACTTGGTCCTTGGTTTAAGATAAACTACGTACTTTCAACTTAATTTACTGAGAGACTTTACAAGGAGACATTACTTAGTTTGTACTTAATTTATGCGTAAATTAAGATTGACCTCTAAATTACGCCAATGGGAACATAGTTTTAAGTATCTTTCAAATGAAGCAATTGAAATACCTACGGTGATCTTTCCTTGTTAATTGACCACTTTTACAATTCGTGGTAAAATTTATGAACTGATTTCTGGGTAGATGCAAGACCGCATGATCGTGCATGAGGGCGTCTGAAAACTAAATTCGTATAACTTAAACATAGGTCGAAAGTAGACCAACCACACGGGGTTTCTATGCATTTCGGCTGCAGCGCCATCCATTGGGTTCATTTTCTGCAAAACCATTGCTTACTATAAAATGAATACGTGTTATGAATTTCAACCTTAACTCCAGCGACACTAACCGCACATAGCTCACATTTAAAATTTAAACGAAATCGGTTAGTAAATACGATTTTTATAAATAACTCTACTCCAGCACCACCTAGCGAGTTTTATAGTAGCATGTAATTGGACCATATATGTATGTAAGGAAACCTCCGACAATCTGACGGAACTCTATTCAATGTTTTTTGAGTTTATTCCGAACAACGAAAACGGCTATCATTATGCAAATAGGTATGTAGAGAGGACAGTTTATAGCGAAACTCGTAAAAACAAAGCTCCATTCTTTGTGAAAAATTTAAAAAAAATCTTCAAAATTTTTACATTAATTTTACTTTACTGAAAATTAAAGACAAATTTACAATAGTTCAATGGGATTTAGAAATCTAGGAGAAAATGGTTCCCAATCGAATGATACTAGCACGTTTACGTAAATGTATATCGATCCAGCCTTTCCAATAATTAGCACTTTTCGCCATAACTACGGTATTGATAACATATGAAGCAGTTCCAGAGATAAGCTATATGAGAAGTTCAGTTTGTATGGAAGGAAGGAGCCACGCCCCCTTTCCCAATGTATTTGCAATATATGCATCAGTGCTAAGTTTCAGTTCCCCAGCGTAATTGGTTTTAGAGATATATTGGTTTTTTGCGTTTTAGTCTGTATAAGAATTTTGGGAATATTCGGAGCTACATACCGAGTAAATTTTTGGTCAGAATATTTATTTTCAACGTGTTGCCAAATATGAACCAAGCCGATGCAGCCGTTTAGTAGTTTAGTAAAATACATTGTAAAAAGAACTGTATGAAGTTGTAAAACGTGACGTCTCTGATTTCTTAATTTTTTGGCAGCAACAACGAAAAGTTTTAATTTTTTTTAGCGAAATCCTTCCACACAGAAAGAAAAAAAAAATAAGTTTGTTGTTATATCAAGGGGAAATTTTGAGAACGGTCCGTTGCTAACTCTAAATATAAACAACGACGCACTGGAAAAAGGTAATACGTTCAAATACCTACGAATAATCATCGACGATAAACTAAAACAAAAAAAAATGGATTCCATTTTTTCAATTAGAGCTCTAGGAATATATGTACATCGGTGAAAACCAGGGCTGCAAACCGGTTTTGAACCGAACCGGTTTTTGAACCGAACCGGCGCCTTTTTCGGGCTTCGAACCGAACCACGAACCGAACCACGAACCGAACCGGTTTTATTTTGAAATGACAAAACTGAACCGAAAACCACTCCAAAAAAATGGTTCGGTTCGGTTCGGTTCAAAATGAAAATCCACTATAAAGCATTTTCAAGTGATGCTAAAACTGCTAAAAAATTTTTGGTTGATGGCAACGCCATGAGTCGTCATTTTTCATTATAATTTCACAATCGCGTCTATTGTTTTCTTCACAAGTTTGGCATACTGTGAAAAGTTTTAAAATATTTGTGCAACTAATAAAAATGAGTTTAAATCCAGTACATAAAAGATTTGTTTATGACAAGAAGACTAACACAAGTGAGTGCAATTATTGTAAATTTAAAATGAAGGGGAAGTACACTGAAAATTTGACGAGACACATAAAAAGAGAGCACGCCGACATTTCCGAGGAAATTATTGGCGAAAAAATAGGCAAGAATGACTCCAACCAAAATGATATTACGCAATACATTGTGAGCAAACCACCATCAGCTACAGTGAGCGTTGCAAAGCAAGATTTGGTAGATGGTTGTATCGAGCTAGTCACAAAAAATGGACGGCCACTTAAACTAATGGAAGATAGCGGGTTTCGAAAAATAATAGATCCCTTGTGCAAAGCTGTTGGCATTTCAATCAATCGCCTAAATATAAAGGAAGAAATCTTAAAAAGGGCAGCCAAATTGCGATCTGTAATGACATCTAAACTTGATAATCGGTAAGATACAGTTGCCTATGTAGTACTAATAGTTTTATTTTACTATGAAGCTACAATTTGAGACGTAGATGGGCACGCAGCAAAGAGTTTGTTGGCTGATTTCCAGCTAAACCCTATATCGTTGTAAAGGGCGATCCATATCTTTTCTAATGAGGGTGGTATAAATTGCCACCCCCTTCGCCCTTCGACACTTAATAGCGTAGCTGTATAGTAAAGTTTGCCCGTATCAATATATTTATGTATTATTGTCACTTTCCTTACTGCAGCCTACTTTCCATAAAAGTGGACTGCGTTAGTCGGTTAGACAGGTCCATAATTGGAATCAATCCACAGTACATTGAAAATGGCGATATTATAATACACACTCTGTCAATGAAGCAAATATTTGTGAAGCACACTGGCTTGAACTTGTCGAATATAATTGTAGACGTGCTAAAATCATTTGAAATAAATATGGACAGAATTTACTCCATAACTGTCGACAATGCGGCGAATATGATATGCGTCGGAAAGTTTCTCAATAAAGCTCAAAGCTTCCATCAAAGTCAACGGTTGCATATTGAAGAAGGAAATGAAGTTGTTGACGCAGATTCACAAGGTAACTAAACAATATATATATTTAGGATTTTATGGATATCCCAATGAATAACTATAAATTATTTTTAGAGTAAGCCGTTGATGAAGATTTTGCCATTAATGACGGAGATGATGACGACGTTACCGTCGATGAAGAAATTTCCTGCGAAACCATTCCAAATTCAATGTTTGAAGAACTTGAGGCAGACTTTTTAAGTCACAACTCGATTAGTGTCATTAGGTGTGCTGCACATACACTAAATTTTGCAGTGTCGGATTTTTTAAAAGAAATAGGTGAAATCCGCAACAAAGTTAAAACCGTAGTAAAAAAACTTAGAACGCCTACCTTGTTGAAAACTTGCACAAGCCAATTATTGAATGCGTGACTCGATGGGGGTCAACATATAAAATGTTTAAGCGTTTACTTGATTTAAAAAAACTTTGCTTAAAAAGCGCTGACGACATAAAAGAATTGCATATGTCTAAGAATGATTGGCAACTAATTGAAAACATTTGCGAAATTCTTAACCCAGCATATGATGTAGCACTTAAATTGCAAAGAAAAAATTTACTTTTAAGTGATATGTTTTTTGCTTGGTATTCTTGTAAAACCAAAGTTGATAAAAAACTAGGATGGTTAAGCCGTAAGTTCGTAACTGCATTAAAAAAACGAGGTGAATATTTAGTAAGTAATTCTAGTGTTTTAGCTGCCGTTTATTTAGACCCCAGGTATCAGACTTTATTATCACACTCAGAAAAAGATGTAGCAAAAAAACATTTGATAAGAACTTTCGAATTAAAATCTAAAATGTATTGTCTAGGAACTTCGGTGGAGTCCCCACAATCTAAGATAAGCTCCGATGATGATGAACTGGAATCCATACTTGAACAATTGAATAAAAAGGAAACTTTACCAAACAGAAAAACGACTGTAGACATAATTATTTGTTTCGATAACATTAAACGCCTTTCTCCACATACAGACGTTTTGAAATTCTGGCAAAACTATACAGAGAAAGAATTAAAGAGCATAGCTGAAATTGTACTAGCTGCTCCTGGAACGCAAGTGTCGGTCGAAAGCATGATAAAAATATAGTAAGGTAGAACCGCTGAGAGTAACTTTTAAAATTTTTGACGTTTCCAAACAATTTAATTTTTAAGTTTACTCACAAACTCACACACACATTTTCATTTTATTTTCACTTTTATATGATTGAAAATGTTGGCAAACTTAAAAAAAAAATCATGGCCGACAAATTGAGAGAACGGTTCTACCTTGGTATGTTTTTATCATGGTCGAAAAGCATTTTCAACTTTAAAATTTATTTTATCAGACTTAAGAGCAAGTATAGACGAAGACTTATTAGAAGACATTCTTTTAATAAACTTAAATACTGTATAATCAGGCAAATCATACGATTTGAAATTGGTGAGATTTACAAAATCTTTTATGGAGATTTCTTCTGTTTTTAGCGGTTTGTATTTGAAATATTTATTACTTCCATTTTGTTTATTAAAAAAATATTTTGCAAATCGCACCAATTTTAAATCGTACCGTTTTCAGAACAGACCTGAACAATAAAAGACTTTCTGCCAATTAATACGCTTGAAGTGTTTCCAATTGAAAATGATATAATTTTGAATATTTTCTGTTTTTCAATCATTAATTTTGTATAAAAGTATTGCTTATTATATAATAAAACCTACATATGTATTTACATGAATCCAAATTTCAAAACTTTGTAAGAAAATTAAAAAGAATCCACAAATTGCCACAATAGTTTCAAACTTTTTAGTCAGAATGAATAAAAAAAATCGAGTGTGCAGTTTTATAGCGCATTCAATTTTCGTATAATAAAGTGCAACTTTGAAGGAGTTTAAAATTGGTGTTAATTTAAAATTTTTTTTAAGGCACTTCAAATTTGCACTTTGTTATCCTAAAATTTAATGAGCTGTAAAACTGTACACTCGATTTTCTTAGTAATTCTGACCAAAAAGTTTCAAACTTAGATGCAATATTGTCTCTTCGTCAAGTATGAATTCCAATGCATTATCAAAAGTTCTTTGAAACAATAATGTTTGTAATTTTTAGGACCTAAAAACCTATAAAAAAGGCAAAATAAAATAACGAAATAGGCTGGAAAAGGCAAAATAAAATAGTGAAAAAGGCAGGAAAAGGCACTAGGTGGTGCAAAAAAGGCAAAACAAAATAGCGAAAAAGGCAGGAAAAGGCACTAAAAAAAGACAGAAAATACGAAGAACAATCAAAAAACACATTTATTTTAGAAATGTTTATATTACAAGTAAAAAGAGAAAAACTATGAACTAGTTTCATTATATGAAAAATTTGTACTTTGAATCTTTGACTATTTTATCCTTTCGAGTTTCTAACTCATAAAACTTTAATCTGTATAGTTCTAGTAACACTGAACCACAAGAGGCATTTTGAAGTTTTCTGGCAGCATTTTCATTCGATTTTCGCGAAGAAAAGCCTTGAATGTACTAAATGTGTGCTCGACGTAAGTTGATACAAGCGGCGCCCAATTTAAACATGGAACGTTTGAAACGTTCATATTATCAGGAATAAGGGCGTTTTCCTCGCCATTTACAATTTTATACACACCACTTATTGTGTCCAAGCCTTCGTTAGCTGAGAAAACGGCTTTGAATATTTCCAACACCAATTTGGCAAGAGGTCTCTGCGATTCTATAAGCCGCATGGGCAATGTGTAAATTTTTTAATCTTAAAAAAAATTGTAAATGCTATAATCACTTTTTTAAAGGTGGAAAAGGCAAAAAAGGCAAATATATTAAAAAAAGCAAATATCTTAAAAAAGGCAAATATCTTAAAAAAGGCAAAAAAAGGCAACATCAAATGTGTATATATGGAATCAGGGAAAGCTAAATCGTGGACATTCTTAATCGAATATGCTCTATCTCGTTAGCAGGAAAAAAGGCAATTTCCATAAAATCCGTTTCCTGGTAATTAACAATGCAAAGTTTTGAGATATATCTACATAAGCGTGATGATATTTGAATTTGATCTCAACGACTTAATTTATTATTACATAATAATCATTCTCAGTATTGTCATGCTATTATAATAACTATTAGCATCATTCACACTTAGTGTGGTATATATACATATTAATTTTTGTAATTAACAAAGCAAAGTTTTGATAAATATTATAAATGAATTTGATCTCAATAACAAAACCTTTTCTTTTTATACACACATACATACATATCGTCCCCTTATGACGGAAACATGAACGTGTAGAAATTAAAATGTTGGGAAATCTAGTTTGAATGTTTGTTTTATGAGACTTAATTCTACATATATTCATGTAATTGGCATTGTAAAATATTGTGGTTTACGTGTACGTATGGCATTTTGGGTTTTGGTATAACATAGAACATCCAAAGGTTAATCAATTCAACCCAATAACTCAAAATTGGTAAATTTGCACATTCAAGCTTCTGGCATATTTTTTGATATTTGTNTTGCACATTCATGCTTCTGGCATATTTTTTTGATATTTGTATCATTTACTGCGGTTTCACGCAATTTAAGCGAAACATTATTTTTTCTGTCAGTTTCCATATTAAGTTCATATAAAAAAAATTTCACTTAAATTGCTTTCGTGAAACTGGCTCTTAGTGTACAAAATTGAACCACTTGAACCGAACCGAACCGGCGGTTCAGAGGCACTCATGAACCGGTTCTTGTACCGGTGAAAGTTTTCTCTAAGTGGTTCCAACCACTGAACCGAACCGCATCGATTTTTGGAGTGGTTTGCAGCCCTGGTGAAAACTGCATTTAATTCCATACATTAGCTTTTGCGTGATACGCTTACAAACATACAGACAAACATATCAAAATTTTATATTTGGCTTCTGTTGATATAATAAACCCCCTATTAATTTTTCTTTAACATCTATTATGAACAGATATCGGCCTGTTGCAATTTTATTATTCTCCAATACTCTCGTTTGATACCCATATGGCAACACTTAGTTTATATTATAAATTTAACTGAATTTAATTTTCAAATGAGTGGCAACCCGCTTCAAGAATATTTTCAAAAGTAAGCTTCCGAATCCTCTTTAGTTTAATATTCGTATTGGAATATTTCATTTATTTACAAATTTTAATGAACACAATTTCCCAATCAGTTGGCAAATCCCCTAAAAATGTTTCCAGCATTAAAATTTTCTAGCCTCTTTAGTTTGATGCCAATATTGCAATATTTAATTTATACTATCAATTAAATTAAATTAAAGTTTTCAAATAGGTGGCAACCTTCCACTAAAATATTTTCCGCTGTAAGCCTTTGTAAACTTCTTTCTTTTGACAGCGATATTGCAGTATTCACTTTACCATATCAATTGACCTAAACTGAAATTTTAAACACAGGTGGCAACTCTCTAATTTTTTCTTCTATATTGGAAGCTTGATCTCTAGCGATACATCGGTGAAAACTGCATTCAATTCCATATTTTCGACTGATGCGCGTACAAATATACAGACAGACAGAGATTCAAAAATTCTAAAAATTGTTTATTTGGCTTCTGTAGCTTTAATAAAAACCCACCATATTAATTTTTCTTTAATATTTATAAGGTGCAGACATCGACCTGTTACTCTATGTATAGATGTAGATATAGATTTCATTTATTTTATCAATTTAATACAATGAAATTTTTCAAACAGGTGGCAGCCTGGCGGCAATAACATTTTCCTAAATCCCTTCAGTTTGATACCCACATTGCAATATTCAATTTATATTATAAATTAAATTAAATGTAAATTTTCAAACAGGTGGCAACTCTAAAAAAATATTTTTGGCTGTAAGCCTTCTTCAGCCTCTTTCTCTTATCAATTTACTTAAACTCCAATTTTCAAACGGGTGGCAACTCTCTTAATTTTTTCTTCCTATGTTTTAAGTTAGACCTCTGGCAATACATCGGTGGAAACTGCATTCAAATCCATGCATTCGTTTTCGAGTGATGCGCGAACAA